CGAAAAAAAAAAAAAAAATGTCAAAATAGGCGTGTTTATATTCATCATGCGTCAAAATCTTGGTTGCTACATGCGGGATCTGCGTTTATTCTTATTCATTAGACAAAAAAAAGGTTCATGTCTATTGATCTAACTTTGATTTTTCAGTTCTATCTTGTCAATGCATAGTTCTAATTTCAACATTTATACTTTACTAGTAAAGTGCACGTGCGATGCACGTGGTAATGAATGTTTTTGGCCGATAAGATAAATTAATTAAATAATTAAACATATGATTGCAAGAATAAAATAAAATATAGAACAAATAAACTCATAATATTTTTTTTTCCAAAAATAACATAATGATGTCGTAATATAAAAAGATTTAAATGACATGTTACAAACTCAACAAAAATATATATAAAAAAAATGAGTCAATAAAAAAACAAAAAACGAAATAACTAAATAAAGATCTAATGTATATTATAAATGCATGAGTATTTTTATCTATTTATAGTTTAGTAAAAAGTTTGATTTATTCAACACATAATTAGAAATGCTTTAGCCGAACATATAGTCAAACCAGGGAAGGACGCATACTCGCAAGACTGAGGGGGCACAAACATAACCTTTACAAAGTGCAAAAAAAAATGATATTTATTCTCTGCATGTTCTTATATATTATATCACTAATAATTAAACAAATTCAAATCTCATTAAATATATTTTTTTCAAATACCAATTTTTTTCTTTTCCACTGGATATTCTTACAACGTCAGCATTCACAGACTTTTTTATAATAAAGATAAATATTTATTACTTAAAAATCAATGAAAAACACAATTTAGTGGCTAATTTAAACTTATAATTATAATTTTAAGAACACCTAAATTCAATATGTATCCAAATCAATGTTGATTTTTGTGAAAAATCGATTTAACTCATTTATATATGTTGCCTACAACATAGTATAAATACCAAATGCGAACAACTTAAATTTTAAAAAACCTCTTGTAATTATTTTTCAATATAATTATATATGTTATAATTTTTTTTAAAAAAAATTGCACAGGGGCCTGTGCCCCTACTGGCGCCTGCCTAGGTCCGCCCATGAGTCAAATTTCATAATTGATCATTATAAGGTATTTCTACGAACATTTCATAAATATCTATGTGAAATAGTCATTG